GTAGTCTAAAAACTCTTATTGCATATCCACTAATAAATTTCCCATCCACTAAATATCTGCAAGTTGCCTGCAAAAAATAAATAAATAAACTGGTTAACACCACATAAACTCATGTTATATATACTTATAAACATAATGAACAAAAGAAATATTAGATGACCAACTTACCCATCTTGAACGGCACAATCTGTTATATCCGGAGAATGTAGTTCTCTATTTATATTTATATTATGGGCATTTCTTGCATTGGGAACCTAAGAAGATAATTTTAATGTGAATGTGCGTTACATATATGCCCCTCCAAAACAAGGAAAAAAAAATTGAACAAGTTGACTCGGGATGGTGTCAAAAGAATACCTGTTTTCTAACAATTTGTTGTGCAGATTCCACGGCTTCCACAACATTGGAACTTAAAATGATATCCGGAAATTGCTCTTTTATCCCAATTAGAAAGTCGTTCATAACCCTGGCCATAAATTCCATTTGTTCTTTCAATTTGTCAACCCCGGGCGTAGTAGTTTTCAATGATTTTGAAATCATTCCCATACATCGAACACGACCTCCCTTGTCAATTCCTTTTACTTTAGAGTATAAACCATCTTCCCATGATTCAGTACCTAGTGTGTTCTCATAATCAACATTCTGAGCGATCATAGTGTCCATTTTTTCCTTTATTGTTTATAAAAACCATCATAGCCATTGGTAAGCATTTGATACAAACAAAATTAGTAAACATAAAGAGAAATGTCAAAATAAAGGTGTCATGAAAAAAAAAATTATTTAAAGAAATGCAAACTAAACTATTACCACTGTAGCTTGTGTCTCATTTGACAAAAACCCACCACACTTAGAGGTTCGAGTAGTAATGTAGACTTTTGCCCTAGAAGGGGTAACTCCTCCTTTTTTCTTCTGCATAAATGGAAATTTAACTAAGGAAACTAACAATTTAAGGCAGCAAAAGTTACATAAAATTCAAAGGATTTCATCTTCTTAAATAATGGGATAAATTGTACGAGCTAAAAGAATAAGGGGAGAAATTATCATTTCATCAATAATCCTAGGAAATGACTTTGTGCCTGAACGGTGGAGATCCTTATATTTGGAGCGATTGATTTTATTTTGTTTACTAATTTCCTATGAACAAACGCATCCAACATGTGATAGAACAAATAAAAGAATTCAATAGTTCTAAATCAGCCCTTTATTATAAGAAGGTATGACAAAAGCCAACAACATTCAGTAATCCCAAAAAAAAAAATTAAAAATAATATAATATAATATTATATAATCAAACATTCAAAAACATACATACCTTTGCTTTTTTACTGCACCAATATTTAACAAGCTTCCTATACTGTTTTTTATCAACTCGAGTATCAGGAATGCTCTTTGCCATCTCCTTCCTACTCTTGGTCGGATCATAGGCTTTCTCTTTCAAATATCTTTTCCATTGCCTCATTTATTAGTCATGTCCCTAAGGATCCACGTTTTCGCTGCTTCAAAGGGATGTGGTGTAAATTGAAACTTTGACTGCAATTAACAATAAATAATAAAATAATTGTACCATCTGCACATTAACTAAAACAATGAATACTAATATAAAATAATTACCTCAATCAAAGTCAGCATCGCATCCCTATATTCTTGCGGCATTTCTTTCCAAGATTTAACTTCTATCGGAGCATATGTGCGAGTTCTAACTAAGACCCCTATGAATCGCATGAGGGAACATGCTTCCTCCCCGATCGGTTGGCTGAAATCATTTAATTCGACCAGAATACATTCCTTGGCTGGCATTTCCCACAAATCAGGCATAAAAGTGGGACCACGAAACCTTTTTTGTTGAGTTCTCCCTTCCAAAGAAGCATACATAAGAATAAATCGTTAAAAAAATATAAAA